TTGCTGAAGATTGCTGCTGCCAAAGCGCAGGCAGAAGGTCCCGGCCACAATGGCTAGCAGGAGGAGGAGGAGGAGGAGGAGGAGGAGGAGGAAGAGGAGGACGAGGAGGAGGAGGACGAGGAGGAGGAGGAGGAGGAAGAAGGCGACGAGGAGGCGGAGGAGGAGAAGGGAGGAGTAGGAGGAGTAGGAGGAGGAGGAGGAGGAAGGCGAGGAGGAGGATGATGAGGAGGAGGAGGAGGAGGAATAAGGCGAGTAGGAGGAGGAGGAAGGAGGAGAAGGAAGAGGAGGAGGAGGAGGAGGAGGAGGAGGAGGAGGAGGAGGAGGAGGAGGAGGAGGAAGGCGAGGAAGAGGAGGAGGAGGAGGAAGAGGAGGATGACGGCGAAGAGGAGGAGGCGGTGGAGGAAGAGAATAATTCATCAGAAACGCACCGACTCACCGTCAGCGATGGTATGAGAAGCCGTGGGAGAGCCTGGACAGATCACTCGTGGCGAAAATACCCGACATTTCAAAGAAGCGCGACGCGACATTGGCACCGGCCCGATCACATGATAACTGACGGCCGAGCGCACAAGCCCCGAAACGACACGAAATCGAGGAGCCGCGGTCACTGCGCACTCACTGCGCCAGAAGCTCGACGGCATACAAAAAACTGACAGAAGGCAGCAAGAACATGGAAGGGGAGGCACAGACATGGACAGGGTCGGAGCAGGAGGAGGCAGGATCCGGAGAAGCAAGCGAAGGGAAAGAGGCCGAAGGAGAGGAGGAACCAGATCACCGAGTCCTGCACACTGGAGAGAAGACAGGGGTAGTGGGGGAGAGAAGGGGTTGGTGGCGGGCGGGGGCAGGAGGCGAGGAGAACAACGACGAGAGAGGACGACGGAGGACGCGGAGGGGGGAATGCCGACGCCTACAGGACACTTTGCCAGACTCGCTGGCAACGTACATTCCACAAAGTAAGCACGCGCTGGCTGAGTCGAAGTGCATGTGTTCACCTCGGACACTTTCCCAGACGGTGCTTGGGCAAGGGGGGGGTAATACTCGTCTCCTCGGTTTGGTGTGTCGAAGTCTCGCAGCGTCGCCGCCGGTTGCCGCCTCGTTGCCGCCACCTTGGGGGGGTCCGTCGAGGTTTCGCGGCGTCGCCGCCCGGTTGCTGCCTCGCTGCCGCCCGTTACCGCCTCACGGGGCATGTCGAGACTTCGCCACGGTGCCGCCCGTTGTCGCCTATGGCCGCCCCGGGGGGTCTCTCGAGGATTCTCCACGTTGCCACCCGTTGTTGCCGCCTCTGGGGTGTGTCGAAGATCCGCCCGTTGCCGCCCCACGAGGCATGTCGAGGCCCCGCCACGGTGCCGCCCATTGTCGCGGGTTGCCACCTCGTGGGGGGCATGTCGAGGAGATTCGCCGCGCTGCCGCCCGCTGCCGCCTGCTGCTGCCCGCAAGTTGCCGCCTTGCGGGGTACGTCGAAGATTCGCCACGTTGCCGCCCGGTGCCGCCCGTTGTCGCCTCGGGGGTGCGTCGAGGACTCGCCGCGTGGCCGCCGGCTGCCGTCCGTTGCCGCCTCGGGGGGGCATGTCGAGGCTTCGCCACGCTGCCGCCCGCTGCCGCCTCGGAAGGTCTGCCGAGCATTTGCCACGTGGCCGCCCGTGGCTACCGATGCACCACACGGCTTGCACTTCGGCAGTGCAGTAAGCTACTCCAGATTTCGTAATAAAGGGAGGGGGGTCTCATTTCGGGGGGGGGTCTCTTCCAGGCTATCTTGGAGGGCCTGGGGGGGTCTGGGGACGAGGTTTTGGAGGGTTCTCCCACGGGGGAGGTCTGATATGGCTCGTCTTGGAGGGTCTTGTTTTCGCACCAGAGGGGGGGGGATGCGAGGTGTGCGGGCGGCCCCGGCCGCCTCAGAGATGGCCCAGGACGGCCTGCATGGCTTCGGCATGCCTCTCTCCGGGGGCCCTCGACGATCCCCGATGGCACCCAGTCGCCCCCAGCTGACTTCAAGACAGCCCACGGAGCCTCCAAGACGCCACCCGAGGGCTCTCATATACCCCCAGGAGGGCCCCAACGCGCCAAAATTTGCACAACCCCGATGGAGAGCTTACACGTGTTCCCAAGTTATTCACAGGCCATGACCAGCGACCCGAGACGGGCCAAGATGCCTCCAAGTGGGCGCCACACGACGGCTCCAGCCGGCCCCAGGACGGCACAAGAGACGACTCAGGCAGCCCAGGATGACCCCGAGAGGGGCTCAAGACCGGCCCAAGCTGATCCCAATGCGCCCCAACACGGAGCTGTACAGCAGGAGCAACCGATCGTAGGTTAGAACCTGGAAGAAACTTGAGAATCATGAAGAAACCGAAAAGCATGAAGAAGGGCAACACAAAGTCATGAGAGTGCAGATGTTCTTCGGAAAATATGCGAACGATCGCTCCACACCATGTCAAGGACCAATGAGCTCAGGATTACTTTCCAGGCGCACCCTTCATGCAAGCGGCGCAGTGGGCTCATGGTCGTCGTAGTGCGCATGGGCTCATTGGTCCAATGTGGCCCCAATACTGCCCGCAAGGCGCCGCAGACGGCCCAGTAGGGCCCCCTGAGGCCCCGTGGACGCTCCAAGGCGGCTGCCAGACGGGACCCCCCAAGAGAGCCCCCGCCCTTTCCCGGTCACGCTGCCCTGTGAACACTGCCCCCCGCGAACAGTGCCTGGGCGCCCGCGACGCTTTCCTTCGAAACACCAGGGGGTTAGCGGATGCGGCGCAAGCCCGTGGAACAACCAACTCGAGTCACACTTGCGCTCCTGCTCCTCCGACGGAGGGCGAGCATGGACATCCGCTAACGGACACAGCATGACTCCTAAAACAAATACTCCCGATACATATTGCACATGGCAATCAAGCGCGGGCCACATCGAGTCATACAGGATCGATTGGGAAAACACTTCTCATCGCATGACACTGCTTGTGCGGCAAGCTGTCGTCAAGAACGATCGAGTCCAAGCCCATGCGTGTTCATCAGCAGCGTCGTATGACACCCTGATGGTCAAATCGGGAACTATATCTGCTGCGTGCGGACAAATGGGCGTTCGGTCTTTACTGGACGCAAGCATCATTTTCCAGGTGCGCGCCCCCTTCTCCAACGCTGCTTAAGCCTAACGCTTAACATGTCCGCGGGTGGTCTCGTCATGCGCACGACTATTTAAACAACAACTCCAAACTGACCTCCAATTTGGAGGTCAGTTTGGAGTTGTTGTTTTGTCGATCGGCGCGGGCCCCACCCCCCCCTCCCTCCCCCCTCCCATGGAGTAGATCTTGGCTGTTGTTTGGCGCCTGTTTCGAGCAGGTGGGGTCTGCCCTCGTAGGACCAACTGCTGCAAGCAATCGCGCTAGGCAGAGGTCCGGAGCCAGACCTCCCCCCCTCGCTCCCCGTTCCGCCCAATGTCGAAAATGCCGAATCAAAAAAACGCTCACAAACTGACACATTGGACGCCCGTTCGTCATGATAGCCGAAAACACGCGAGAAATAGTCAGAGTGGCGGGCAGGCAGGCTAGAACGCTCTCGCGTGACGGTGTCACGTAGGGAATGCTCTCTGCCCACGTGACGACCCGCGATGAAAAAGGCGATGATATTGGTTATCAGGTGTGTTGTGCTAGCCCTGCAGGGTTTCGGCCAGAGCTCGAGTCAAAAGGGCTACGGATGGGGAGAAGGAGGAGGAAGAGGAGGAGAAGGAGGAGGAGAAGGAGGAGGAAGGGGAGGTGAAGGAGGAGGAAGAGGACCAATAGAAGGAGGAGGAGGAGGCGAGAAACAAGAGGAGTGGGAGAAGAAGAAGAAAATGATGATGAGAAAGAGAAGGCAGAACAAGCGGAGGAGGAGGATGAGGAGGACGAGGAGGATGAGGAGGACGAGGAGGAGGAAGCGAGACAGTATTAGGAGGACGGGGGGGGATGAATGGAAATTGTATTAGTAAACGATGGTGACGGTGATGATGAGGCAGGGGGACAGCGAACGGGAGCAGTATCAAGAGAATAAAGGGAAGCGAATAATGAGGAGAAGGAGAATACAAAGGAGGAGGAGGACGAGGAGGAGGAGGAGATGTGGGAGGAGTGGAGGAACCAACAGGTACCGATACCGCCACTCGCCGGACCTCTCCCAGGGTGCGCTCTGACCAGAATATGTCGAGGCGACTCCAGCGCGCTGGCGACGATAAGTTCTCCGAGGAGCCCCAAACTGGGGGGAGCACCAGCGAAAGGGTAGAGGTAATGTTAGGAGGCAACTACTGGGAAATTTTCGTCGAAAGGATAACAAATAATTAAGCCCCATTGGGGGGCTGTTACGCCGGAGTGGGCCTCGGACTAAGCCGGACTAAGCCGGATTAGCCGGGATTAAGCCAGAGTAAGCGGGATGAAGCGGGATCAAGCCGGACTAGGCGGGATTGAGCGGGATTTCGGACCAGGGCAAGATCAGAATTTGACCTCCAAGCAGTTGCACCCGAAGTAAGGGGCGCAGGGCAGTTTCTAATACATGGGATTTTGAACATATAGGAGTTTTCATGCATGGTTCATGTATGAAGAAGTTTATGCATGAACTCATCGTTGTTTTTGATCCTAGATCCCTGCATTTTTCATACATGATCACCACGCGGAGCATGTATACAAAACGGCACTGTACCTTCTCTTCCCTCCTCCGACGGAGGAGCGGCCAGCAGAGGAGGAGGAGGAGGAGGAGGAGGAGGAGGAGGAGGAGGAGGAGGAGGAGGAAGAGGAGGGGGAGGAGGAGGAGGAGGAGGAGGAGGAGGAGGAGGAGGAGGAGGAAGGAGGAGGAGGAGGAGGAGGAGGAGGGAGGAGGAGAGGGGGAGGAGGAGGAGGAGGAGGAGAAGGAGGAGGAGGAGGAGGAGGAGGAGGAGGAGGAGGTGGAGGTGGAGGTGGAGGAGGAGGAGGAGGAGGAGGAGGAGGAGGAGGAGGAGGAGGAGGAGGAGGAGGAGGAGGAGGAGGAGCAGGAGGTATGGAGGAGTCCTCGCTTGGGCGGCATCTCGGCCGCGGGGGGCGCAAAGGGGTGCGCCCCGCGCGGGATCCCTCGGGCGCGCGCGACGGGTGCGGCGGGGCCGGGCCGCCCCCCGAACAAAAACAAAACGCTGAACATCGCGGGGCGGCGGCTTCGTTAGGCGACGACTCCTGTGAGGTCCTCTTCCTGGGCACGACTCGGAAAAAGGCGCAGCCAGGACAGGGATAGACTTTGGGAGAAAATAGATCGAGGATCTCTGAGATCTGGCGGCTCTGGAGGATGCCTCGGGCGCCGCGGTCTTCTCAGAGCGTCCCGAAACGCTATGAGAGCGCTCCGGAACGCTCTGGATCGGATTTATCCTCGTCCTAGCCCCGTCCGAGGTCTTCCTGGGAACGACTAACAAGACTATTGAGCCCGAGTGGAAGGCGACTGAGCCGATGCAAAACGGGCACGGCCCAGGATTCCACCAGCCGATCGAGCGGGACTCGTGGGGGCCAGTCGGGATCATGATAGATTTGGACCGCGGATATGCCACAGCCGATGCTGGATTCAGCCTCCCAGGAGATCTGCAACCGCTGGGGAGCGTCCGCCGAGGAGCCGCGCGGCTAGTGGCTATACGCCGCCCTGCGTCGGCTACACGACGGCCCGAGGCGCCGCGCGGGCTCGGCGTTCATGCAGTCATCGTGCTGAATGCCACAAGGGGCGCGGCATTTGGGGGAGGGGGGGGGGGGGACGGTTTCCCCCAGGGCCGTAGGCGACCCGAGGAGGAGGAGGAGGAGGAGGGAGGAGGAGGAGGAGGAGGAGGAGGAGGAGGAGGAGGGAGAGGAGGAGGTGGAGGAGGGGAAGGGGAGGAGGAGATGGAGGAGGAGGTGGAGGAAGGGGGGAGGAGGAGGAGAGGAGAAGGAGGAGGAGGGAGGAGGAGGAGGAGGAGGAGGAGGAGAGGAGGAGGAGGAGGAGGAGGAGGAAGAGGAGGAGGAGGAGGAGAAGGAGGAGGAGGACGAGGAGGAAGAGGAGGAGGAGGGAGGAGGAGAAGGAGGAGGAGGAGGAGGACGGGTCGCCTAAGCCCTTCGGAGAAACCCTCCAGGGGGCGGGGGGCCGTGGGGAGCCTCGGTTGGCCACGAGTAGGTCTCACAACCTACACTAAAGGAGCGGGCCAAAAACTCGAGCCTCTCCTGGCCCCAGGGTGGTCCTGAATTCAACGTCTTACCTCCAGGCGTTGTTGTCGTACCGTTTTTTCCTCCAGCCGCGATCAGTGTGACCTCTGCGGTCAGCAACGCTGTGCAATCGAAAGGGACGTCAGCGGCGCCACTTCTGCGCAACTCTAAACTGGCGCTAGGTGCTTCTTCAAGCGAAACTTGTCCACAATATTTCCCCTGGAGCTATGCAAGGACCAAGCAACAATATCATCAGATAACATCCCGCAAACATGCGAATGCCCCCGTGAAATGAAGAGCGGGTGCGCTTGACACCAGAGGCCGCGCAAATTCCTGGCTGATGGCTTCCGAGCAAGGAACGGGCAGCAAAGCATCCATACATTCTTGCCAACCGAGATGGTGGACCATGCGGTAACGGTGTCGGGGGAGGGGGGGGTGCAATTCTTGTTGTGCCGTCGCTCAGGTGCGTCTTCTCATCTTGCACGCTCTGCCGGAGCGCCGTCTGGGGCGCCGCATCTTGCGCGCGCGCGTGAAAGAGTCGCACTGCGCAGGAGTGGAATACGTTTCCTTAAAGGACGCCAGCGACATGGACTTCTGAGACCGCGGCGGTGCGTTTGGGACCTCGAAAAAAGTGCGAGCGAAAGCGTCGCGCGCAGCGACCTCGTGGGCGAAGCCAGACGGACTCGAGAAATCAGCGTTGCCCGTTTCGAAAGTCCCTTTCCCTGGGGTTCCTTTTGTTCGGAACCACACCTTTTTGAAACCACCTTTTTGGAACGACATTTTTTGAACCTGGGGTCTCTTTTGGAACCACCTGCTTTTGGAAACGCCGCGCGCGGCTGCGGCAACGGCCCTGGGCCGCCTTCGCCCCCCTGCGCTGCGCGGTGCTGCCATCCTCTTCAGCGCCCGCCGGCCTCCCTCACACCGACCCCATCGGCCACAGCATCCCACCGGCCCTACCCCTTACCCTGAGCTGCTCAATAGCGATGCCCCAAACACATTAGCGCCGCCAGACCAAACGAACCTGTGGCCGTACTGCGCCAGCAGGCTTCGCCGAGACCCCGTCTCCGCTGGCGGCCGCTCGACGAGCCAGCACCATCACGAGCGTCCATCCTCGCACGGCTCCACCTGCGTGATGAGATCGGTGCGCAACGCGCACCCTCACGTGTCATCGGCATCCATGCTGAGCTCGTGCGCCGTGCAAGTGTCCCCCGCGTTGCACGCCGTGCGGCACTCGTAGTGCTTGCTGAATGGTCTGGGCGGCGCGAAGTCCCAGGCAGCCACGTTGAAGCGGTCCAGGCCCGACGGGAGGCAGTACCCTGTCCCGAGGAGCGAATACTCGCGCTGCCCCGCAGACGTGCCCTCCCTGATCCATCACACTACACGCCGTCCTTTTCCTCGGCCTTTATTATCGGCTCCGTGTGAATCTCGCAGGTAGTAACATTGCCTGGAGAATACAGCGACCGCGATGTCGCGTACGGTCCCTCATAGGCCACACACCGCGAGTCCTTGGCGCATGCGCTCTCGCAGTCCATGGCGGTCGTCCTGCCGAGGCCCACTGTGCGGAAGCCCACGCCCCTCTGGGGGCTCTGCTGGGGCGGGGCAGACTCTTCACCGGCCGCTGCCGCGGACGCCTCCTGAGCATCGCGAGTGCGCGACGGGGGAGGCTCTGGCAACTGGGCAGGCGAGCGCAGCCGCGATGACGGCGCGGTTGGCCAGGCCGCGGGCGGAGGCCGGCATGGCTGTCTGCGCAGGGGTGGGCGGGCCGAAGCGCGAGCGCCTACTGCTGGCCCGCCCCTTGAGCCAGGCTACGGAGGGCCCCTCTTGGAACCGCATGAGAGTGGCCTCCGGTGCGCGGCTACTGGGGGGAGGGGCGCGGGGGGGCCAAACCAAAGCGTGCAGGCCGCATCGCGGCCGCGTCGCATTCGGCCTCTGGGCATCCCCAATGGTGTGCAAGCTTGGCTGATGTAGACAGCAACCTCATGGCAGTGCACATTTGGGACATGTGCTTCCTTTACGATTCATCTGTCCTCCTCCCTTCTGATCTTGTATACTTCCTCCCTCTACCTCTCCTTCCTCCTGTCCCTCGGCCCTTTCCTGCCTTGCATCTGGCTCCTCACCTCCCCTCCCTCCTCGCCCTGCCCGCACCGCACCGCAGCCGCAGGTCACTCTTAGAGGAAAGAGAACCATGCACATACACCGATTCTGGCCAGGCCCATCCTGAGCCCAGGATCGGTGCATACGCCCTCCTACCTTGGCCAGGAAGGCATATGCACCGATCCTGGGTCAAGGATGGGCCTTGCAAGGATCGGTGCATGTGCATAGTTCTCTTCGCCCGAACTCTGGCGAAGGGCCACCCCTTAGGAGCAGCCCTTCGCCAGGGCAGCAGAGGCACCGGCCTTGCCTCGGGGGCCGACGCTGCACGTGCCCCCAAAAGGTCGTCGTCGTCGTCGTCGTCGTCGTCGTCGTCGTCGCCGCCGTCGTCGTCGTCGTCGTCGTCGTCGTCGTCGTCGTCGTCGTCGTCGTCGTCGTCGTCCTCGTCGTCGTCGTCGTCGTCGTCGTCGTCGTCGTCGTCGTCGTCGTCGTCGTCGGGGGACGACGCTTCACGGGCCCGTGCGGCCAGCAAGGTGCCACCGGCTCCCCCCAAGGGCGCTCTGCTCCAGGTGCAGTGGAGGCCAGTCAGCAAGAAACCTTCTCGGGAGCGGCCAAGAGGGGGGTGTCCAAGAGGGGGGGGTGCAAATCATGACCGGCGGCATGTGCGCGGCCCAGCGGGGGGCCAGGGACGTAATGAAATAAGAAGAGGCGCCATGAAATCTGGGGAAACATCATGGCCCACGCCATGATATCCACCCCCCCCTAGTCATCACCCCCCTCTTTTCCGCCCCCGACCTTCCACGAGACACCCAACCCTGAGATCCCGGGACGTCCATCGATTTTTCGGTGTGGGGACGTCGCGCTTTCCATGGCAAACCCGAGAAACCCAGGGCACCCTGGAGGCAAACAGGGTGTTTCTTGGCATGGGTCTCCACTGTACGGCGCCCCTGTCCACAATCAGAAAGTTTTTGGGCACGAAAGAAGCAGGTCCTGCACGAAGCGGGTTCTGGGCCGGGAGGCCTTCCTCAAGGCACGCGGTTCATGCATCGCTTCTTGGCGGTGTTCATCCTTGCTCTGCGGGACGGTGAGCGCGGGAGGAAGTGGCACGCAACAACTCCAGGCGTCGCAACACAAGAACAGTGACAACCATTGTTTCTACCTCTTGTGTGTGTCTAAAAACCGTTTCCAGGCCCTGGGACAATGTAACCGACTCAGGCGTAAATGCCAGCAACGGGGAATGGATCGAGACCCCAGAGGGGCCACGTTAAGAACAAATCGAGACGTCGGAGGAGAGGGGAGTGAGCAGCGAGAGACTGAAGGATGATGGGGGAGTGCCCAGGGGGGTACCTCGAGGTCACCTTGGGGCCTTCTCGAGACCATACTGGGAAGACAGGGGTGGGAGGACGAACGAACGACGAACGAACGACGAACGAACGACGAGCGAACGGCACGACGAACGAAAACAGATGTTACGTGGACGAGGTTGTGTGTTTAAATTTGTTTTGGACCCATGTGTAGCACTCGGGCGCCCGGTCTCCTGGACGTGGTGGCGGGCAGGGGTTCGAGGGGGCACTGCAGGTTCGTGCCGTGACGACTTGCGCGTCTCAAGGGGCCCTGGGACACACACGCAGAAACGGACACGCATCTCAGGACTCCCCATGCGTTCCCATGCCTTCCCACACCTCCTGGGTCTTCGTCTTCCCCCCACCCCCCCCGAATCCCCATCTTTCCCCACAATTTCTCCCGGGAGTCGACGATGAACTGTGCCCGTGTGTGCGTGCTATCCCCTCCTGAGTGCACGGCTGCTGGCACGGCCCCCTTGATCGGGTCGGGCGAAAGGGGGGGGATAGCAAAGGGGGGGGGGTGAGAGTCAGCTCACGTAGCTGATTTTCCCGGCGCCTCCCGGCGCCGGAGGCGGCTATGTATCGAGACATGGCCCCCTCGGTGAGGCCGAAACCAGCTGCATGCAGCAAATTTCGTACGGCAGGTTCGTGTTGTGCCGACCCCAGCGTTGGTTTTTGACACCGCAGGGATCGTTCAACCTTGAACGATCGGCCGTCTCCGCAACGTCCAATCGTTCAACATCGATCGATTCTGGGTCGCCGGCGGCGTTCAACCTTGAACGCCCGCGCTGGGGTTGCCGCTGGTCGACACGACGCAAACCTACCGTATGTATCGAGACATGGCCCCCTCGGTGAGGCCGAAACCAGCTGCATGCAGCAAATTTCGTACCCCCCCCCTTCCCCAATCCCCCCCTTTCGCCCGGCCCGAGCTTGGTGAGAGCACGACGGGCTCGGGGGGAGGAAGGAGGATAGGCGTGAGGAGGAGGAGGAGGAGGAGGAGGAGGAGGAGGAGGAGGAGGAGGAGGGGGGGGAGGAGGAGGAGGAGGAGGAGGAGGAGGAGGAGGAGGAGGAGGAGGAGGCCGGCCCGACCCTTTCGCCCGGCCCGACTGGACAGCGCGCAGGCGTCGGGCCGCGGCCCGCGCGAGAGAGCACGGAGGGCGGGGGCCGGAGCGCCCGGGATGCACGTGGGGCCCGCCTCTTTCGTTGGGGGGGCGGCCAACACGAAGGGGCCCCAGGACACACAAAGAAATACACACGAATAAAAACAAATCCCCATATTTTCCAACATTTTCTGGGTTTTTGTCTCCCCCCCCACTTCCCATATGTTCCCACATTTTCCGGGGGATCGACGATTCATTGTGTCTGTGTGTTTTTATCCTCTCCTGACAATAAGGGGGTGTCCAAGAGGGCGGGGCGCAAGGCATGGCCGGCGCCATGTGCGCGGCCCGGGGGGGGGGGGGGGGCAGGGCGGGGCGCATGGAAGTGGGAAGAGGCGCCGTGAAATCCGAGGAACTGCCATGGCCCCCGCCGTGAGACCCGCCCCCCCCCCTCCTGAGGCATCGCCCCCCTCCTCCCCCCTCTTTGGCCGCCCGCGAACGTGGGGCCCCCTGTCTTTCT